TCAGGTCTAAATGCTAAGGATTTTTGTAACATTTCCTCAAGCCATTTATTTATTTTAATCCAATACTTTTTTGCCTTATTGCAAGCCCACCACATATGATAGAAAGTACCCGGTTTATGTTTACATTTCCAACATCCATTTGACATATTTGGAAATATCTCAGCTAACCTAGTTGGCGACAGATACCATCTATAGAATATTTTGTACAGGTTTTCTTTATATGAAGTTGCTAATATTACTTTAATATTTCTTTCCCACAGCTTTTGCCATTTCTCTAATTCAATAGTATATCCAAAGTTTGGTGCCCACGTTATCATAGTTTCCTTAACCTGTTCATCTCCCATTCTCCTATCTAGTAAAAAGTTATATAATCTTTTAGTCATTTTCTCATCTGATGTATTTCAATGTATCTTATTGTGTTGTAAGCCGCCCCGAGGCTTCGGCAAGGGGCGGCATAGAAATATAATAATAATAATAATAATAATAATAATAATAATAATAATAAGTATCACCTGATCAAATGCTGTTAACTCCTTATAAAAGCCCCACATTTTATAGTCTTTAGCATATCTCGCTTGTATCTGTACCTTATGCCACCAAGAAATATTAATTCCTTGTTCTTGTATTTCTTGATTCCATTTCAGTCCTCCGTCATTATCCAGAATATCATATCTTATAATCATTTCAAAATTCAATGCATTTGGGTACACAAGAGGTTCCATAGGTGAAAGTCATTTTGGTAATTTAATGTACAGTTTTGTCTTTAGCTTTTCCCACACCGACATTAATGATTTCCTAATATAATGATTTAAAAAACAACCATGTGCCTTAGACTTTTCGTACCACACAAGGTGCGATTTTTCATGGTTAATACATAGTCCCAAATTATCCAAGAGGGTACAAGTAGTCTGAATCGATGATCAAAGGCCTTCTCTAGACGAGGAAACAATCAACCAGTCATTCAGGTAAGGGTACACTGGAATGCCCTGGAGCTGAAGATGTGCGCACACCGGGGCCATGCATTTTGTAAAGATGGGGGAGCAGTAACCAATCCAAATGGCAAAACATTATACTCAAACAGGTCAGAACTGACGGTGAATCGAAGAAGATGCCTGTGAGACGGATGGATGGTAATATGAAAATAAGCATCCCTTAAGTCCAGAGAAGCAAACCAATCCTCTCTCCTGAGCAACGGAGGGATGTTTTGAGGGTGGTCATCCGAAATTTCTTAGTTTTGATGAGCCTATTGATGTCATGTCAGTATCAGACGAAGACCACCATCACGCTTAGGAACCGTGAAATATCTCGAATAGAAGCCGTGTAACCTCTCGGAGCATGTGAGTTGTCAAATTGCTCCTTTATGAAGAAGCTGTTGAACTTTGTCTACAACAACCAATGACTGAGGCATAAATCGGATCGGTCCCGGTGGGGATATGGTATCGAACTCGATTCTGTATCCGTGCTGTACGATGGATAAAACCCACTGATCAGATGTGATGGACTCCCAAATGGGGAGTCGACTTTGCAGTCGATCCCCAAAAGGAAGAGGGGAAGGCGGGTTCAAGAGAAGAGGTTTGCTCGGCCTGTCAGCGTTGGCGATTGTCCACATCAGGGCGACAACGGCTCTGTTGGAAATGCTGCTGTTGTTGCTTCCGGCGCTGCTGGCAAGGCTGGAATTGTTGTCGGCCCGAGAATTGTGCATAGGGCTGATACCGGTAGGATGGACGGGACCAAGACCACTTACAGCAAGATTGATTAGGGACTTCCATCTGACGAGCTGTAACCTTCGACTCATGGATTGTCTTCATCTTGTGGTCCATCCGGGCATTGAAGAGCCCTGAGCCATCGAAAGGCATATCCTCAATCCGACGCTTTGTTTCATCCTGAAAGTTGCAGTTCCAGAGCCAGGCATGGTGATGGAGGGCTACAGCACCGACGAGAGCCCTGGAGTCGCAATCAACATGGTGTCTCGCCATGGAGAGTTGCTGGACCGACACCTGCATCGCCTCCTTGATTCGGGCCAGGTCTTTTTGCTGCTCCGGAAGCGACACTGTGATATTTTCTAATTTCTGCATCAGAAAATACTGATAGCGAGCCAGCGTAGCCTCATAATTAGAAATCTGGAGGGCAAGAACTGTGGCGGTATAGATGCGGCGAGTCAACATGTCAATCTTACGCCCTTCCTTATCGCGAGGAGTGGTGTGTCCCCTCGACTTGCGGCCTTGAGATGACTCTACTACAATTGAGTTCAGTCTCGGGTGATGCAGGAGGAATGGAATATCCTGCTCACGGACTCGGTACATGGACTCGTAGCGTCGCGAAGTGGGTTGAGGCTGATTGGGGTAATTCAATGGCTCCATCATCGCCTGACAAAGAGTGGTGATAAGCGGCAAGGTGATGGCGGCAGACTGTTCACCCTTGACAATGTTATAAAATTTAATGGTATTGGGATCGAAGTGGTGCTGGGTTTCGATCTCCAGTGACCTTGTAAGTCTCACCATTAATTCCCTAAACGTTACATAAGGCTCTTCTGGTGAGCTGGGACCTTGCGTGGTGATCACAGCATCCGGTGAAGTAGAAGCTACTTCAGAGTCCTCCAAATCGGAGTCATACTGAGGTGGAAGGCTGGAGGAGGAATCGACAGGCAAGGTAGGGCACCTGGGCTGAGCCGCGCTGGAGGTCGATGGAATGTCTCTCGGGACCAGAGAGAGGGTACGATCGTGTACCGAGGGGTAATAGCCGTAGGGTGGATAGTCATCCCATGACTCACGATGAGTCGGCCTATGGGGCAGTTGCACCCATTCTCCAGAGGGACGGATGGAGGCGCACTGCTGGTATTGCACCTGCTGAGACGGGGCCCTTGGGGAAGGCTCACGTGACGGCTGAGGAGTAGGCAAGTGTACCATTGGGGAAGAGTCTCAAAACTTTCCATCAGAGATGGATCCCAACATGGCAGCTTCCTGGTGCTCAGCTGAAGATGGGACAGAAGGAGCGACCAGGCAGGGTCACTTGCATTGCCAACTGAAGAGCCGGTCCAGTCGGTGTCGGTACCGAAGCAGCCGTCGGGATCGATGGGGCAGACGAACCCGAATCACAGTGTCGGGGATGGTCGGCTTTCTTAGATTTGTGAGCCGCCTTGTCCTTCTTAGGCTTCTTATGGCCTGAGGACTTGTCTGACCCACTATGCTTCCTCTTCTCCTTCTGCTTATGTGGAGATGCAGAGGAGCGTTGACTCTCTGGTAAAGGGGCACCATCAGCCAATGGGAGGGGCGGAGGTGTAGTTGAAGAGGAGGACGGAGCAGTAGATTTGCCTGTCAGTTGGTTGGATTGGAGCAGGGCTTGGTCCCACAAGAGTTTGCGCAGACGGTTTTCTCAATTTTTCCTCGCCTGCTTAGTAAAGGCCTGGCAATGGTCACATTTATCAGTCCTGTGCCCTTCTCTGAGACAGAGAAGGCACAGATCATGTGGATCAGTAGGCAACATTTTAGATCTGCACTGAGAGCACTTGTGGAAAGCCGCACGCTGAGCCATCGAGGGTGAAAAAGGAGAAGATAGCGAAGGTAAGAATACAGAATACACACACACACACACACACACACACACACACACACATTTGAGGGGGAACAGGAAAGGGGAATGAGAAGAAAACTTCTAGCAGGGAGGGTAATAACTTAGAATCTTAACAAGCTAAGAGAAACAATGGTAAGGTAACTGGATATACATGTAGTACAAACTGAGAGACGAAAGGCTTGAGGCACAGCGAACGGCAGTTGCAAGAAGACTAAGGAAATGGCGGGCACTCTGCCTTCTTATACTGTGGGGGGGGGAGGGGTGCTGAGTTCCCGTCAAAACCGTTAAGCTTTAAATCTTTCTGGCCACGGCACTGCGCAGGCGCAGCACCCATACGTGTGATGCACAGAGGCTACAACGAAGAATTTTAGTACCTGTTTTAGCTGGGCTTCCATCCTCTGCATGTTAATTCTCATACAACCAAGTTCTACATTCATCTGGAATGTGCAACAATAAAAAGCTGAAACCAAGTTCTCACATTGTTGTCTTTCAAGACAGAGATAAAGTCAGAAAGACCATAAGCTATTTCTTTCCTAGAGTTATTTGGACTTCATGCATTCCAATCACGTTTGTGGCAAAGGCTCAGACTTCTAGTATCTGTTTTCATTTTTAGCTCTGGTTTCAAATTTAATGAAAGCATATTGCAATGTTAACAAGGAAGGTAAACTTTGAATTAATATTCTGTATCCTGAGTGAAGCAGCTGAGGTTTCTGTCATGCAGAATTAGCCTTAAAAACAACACCGGTACGTCTCCGCATTCTGTTTTTATTGCAGTTGAGTCTAAAACCAGGAACAACAGATGCATCTGGAAAAACTAAGTAAGTGCTGAGCCTACTGTGAACCTGCACTTGGCCATTCATCCTGCAAGCATCTTGCATTCATCCTGAGAACAAAGCTCAGAGTCAGAAGATTCTTCCTGACTCCAACAGAGGGCTCACTTTCTGACCCTTGCAACAATCACAAAGCTAATCCCACTTCTTTGCCCAAAGCAAAGCCCCAATTTTTTTAAAAGTTCTAAACATACATTTAATCAGATGCATAGAACAACTGCTCAATACTTTTTAAAGTGAAAAACCTCCTGGAAGCATGAGGGGAAAGAGGAAAGCAACACAGGATTTGGAGAAAAGTACAGGGGTCATTAGAACAAAAAAGCTATCATAGCTTTTAAAAAATTGGGTTTATTGTATTTTATGTTTTTATTTTTATTATATCGTTATTGCATTTTATCTGCTGTGGTGGACCACCCAGAGACCCTTACCTATTGGGCAGTATAGAAGTAACCACAACAATACCACCACCACCAACAGAAAGACGGACAGAGAGACAAGCAGACAGACAGAAAAACAGCTTGCTTTGAAACAGGAACAAAACAAAAAGGCTCCAGTATAACTATGTTTATTTTTATCCTGTATGTCAATGTTTCAGAATACCTGATTATAGTTTGTCTCCAAAGCAGCATTCAGCTTGAGAAGCTGACTATTTTCTGAACGCACATCCATGAGGGATTGTACCTCCTCTTCCAACTGCTGGACTCTTGTCTATGGCAAATGAAAGAAAACCTCTATCACACAGCTGAAATTTGTGGCAGTCATCTGGAAACAACAGTAGTATTTGCCAAACTAGCAAAAAATTATGGATGCTTCTATTCTACAAATGCAAAATGCTAAGGCACGAGATTATAACAATTCACTTATTCTAATCCAAAGTCTAAGCAGTATGATCATATATCAAGGATCCTTATGAACACATAATGCTTATCCTTCTTACATAGCAATAGTTCACACTGCTTGCTAGGTATATATCCTGTTTTCCATCTCTTATTGCAGTCTTAAATACAGTATTAGTTAAGTGTAGTCTATTTAAATTAATGGGAGTTATTTTCAAGGAAATAGGGTATTATAATACTTGTAATTTAGTGCTAGTAATTTTATCCTTTCCAAGCTAGGTTTGTCATCACATTAAGTCACCCTATAAATAAGCCATTATGGGTTGGTTGGTTGCTTGCTTGCAAACCATCAGGTGTTCCATGGCTTATGGTAGCTCGTTTCCCTGCACAGGCCTCCTGCTGCCTCCAGCATAGATCCCAGGATCAACATTTGTTTCATCCATACCTTCACCAGCACCCTTCCTGCACTTAGGTTGTTAGAACTCTCCGCTCCAGAGGGAAACTCCCCTCAACCCTGCATCAGAACGTCAACTGAAATTAATTCCTCATGCCCTTAATGATGCAGTAATGCCTTTGTAAACTTAAACAAATTAGGAGATGCACTCTTCAAAATTCTGGCTGATTGCACCCTTTATTGTGAGGCTTCTCTTGCTGGTGAACTTTTTTTAAATTGCTTCACGCTACACAGAAGTAAAGACACCCACTCCTCAAATATCTTCTTTCCTGCATATACCAGCTGCTGTCATTTCCCACCTCCCCTTTGTCCTTGTAACTTCCCTCCAATGGTCTGTGTTGCCAGTTGTCATATATACATATAGATTGCAGCACTGGGAACAAGATTGTACAAAATACACAAATATCATGGCAAAGCAACAAGATGGAGGCAAAAAATGTGCAAATTTCAAGGCAGAGCAATGGAACAGAGGGAACATGTATGCACATTTCCTAGCAGCACACACTTGCTCCAGCTCACTCGTGCAAGCTCAAAAATAAGACACAAAAGTTGCAGGAGTGTTTAGGTCACTCTCTAGAGCTCTTTGTTTAGGAGCATGGGGCTGGCAGGTGCTGAGAAGCTATGAGGAGGGACAGCAGCAGCACCAGTAATACTGCACAGTGCAGCAGGGCTTCTTGCCACTCTTGCTAGAAACCTGTTTGTGACAACCTGAAATGAGGTTACCCTGCTGGGTTCAGACAATGCAAACAGCCACTATGAGTAGAACGCTTCAGAAGCTACAGCAGCGTCACAGAAGCCAGTTTTCCTGAGGCACAGAAGCCACTTTTCCCATGGGTTCAACTGGTGATGTTACTGTAATGTACAAAGGTCAGCAACCATTTGCAAAGGAAGCAAGCAACCCAACATTCCCACCTCTCCCACAACACTGTGCTGCAGACTTTAAAACATAATAGCAGCGGCATGGGATGATGGACCCATGGGGAAGCTGCTCATATGATAAAGGTCCCAATATTTGCTTTTAAAATACCAAGCTCAAAATATGCTGAACATCATGAAACCACCTTCCTTTCTCGTGAAATTCAAAAAAATTATGTCATGCTGTAACAACCCTCAAGTATTCTATCTACCATTCAGCTGGATTAAGAACTTCTAATTTATGCACCTGTGCATTTATAAACTTCCTCACTGAAAAAGCAGAAGTCAAAGCCAAGCACATATTAAGGTACAAGAGCCCCAAAAAACTAACACTGAATCAGTAAGAGAGCTCTCAGTGATAAAACAACCATTTCTCTCAGGGCTCTGCCCTTCTACTTCGCTATCGCAGCTGCACCTCAAGCCCTCTAACACCAAATGTAACTTCCATGGAACACTGTCCTGTGTTGTGTCAGCTTCCTTTCTAGTTCTGTCTAAGTTCAGGAGAGAGGGATGAGATTGCTTTTCCTGATTCAAGAAACAGGCCTGAAATGCACAACAGGAAGACAAAACAGAAGACAATGGACAGGTGGCTCAAGGACTAACATCTCTTTCTGATTCTTTGTGGCTTGTTATTCTTTCTTTACACAATACTGTTTTTCTTTAAACAAGACGGAGGAACCTTGTCATAATATTAAGGGAGTATGTCAAGTCATGTTCTGACAGAGAGTTATCTACCTGTTGGTGTTCCAAGGCAGCTTTCTGCTCCATTAACTTCTTGTTTTCTTTTTCTAGCACCCTCAGCACGTCTTTCAGAGGACTAATTTCCACCTTTTTTAAAAAAAAGGGAAGACAATACAATTTCTCTTGTCTTGTTGGACAATGCAATCAATTTCTCATACTTTGTTCTACTTGGCAGATGAAAAATAGAAGCAGCAGATGGAGCTGAACAATTGGCAGTTATCTGCAATGCAGTTCACCAATGTTTAAACTTGCTACAACAATGACAAATTATTAGGTCTACCATTTGCTAATGCAAACATAATGCTTTGATCTAATCCAGCACTCTGGCTGCCTTGTGGCACTCATGTGTACATGGAATATATATATTATACACACACACACACACGCGATAAAATGTTTTTGTTCAGTGTCCTTATCATACCTTGCTTTCTGTTAGCTCTGCTTCTAATCTTTTGTTCTCTTGCATTAGTTCATGTATTGTTTTCGGCATCTGCCAGTAATTAAGAAACGTTTTATCATCAGTCTCATCAATGGAAGATTCAAGCTTTCCTGCATTATCTTCCATCGCCTCCAATAAAATACCAGACCCCAGACTGGAAGCTTCTCACTCCAGCTATGCATGCACCAGAACTACATGTGATATTTAATGTTGCTATTTTTACATTTAGTCTCTCTTGTCCCAGTGCTGATCCTCACATGCTCCCCAAGGGCTGATAAACCTTCTTTCAGGACTGTGAGCTCCTCTTTTATTTTTCATAATCCTAAATAAATGAAGCTAACCATGTGTTCCCCTGCCAGGGGGAAGGGAAAAAGTCCTCCTTACTCTTCGAAGTAAGAAATTAGCTAAGGCATATAATATGTTTGCTAAAATTCAACACTTTACAAAGGAAAGGAAGAGATGTTAGCGGCCGAGAATGGAGATGCTTGTGCAAATATATGCAAAGTTTTTACATTTGAATGACTTATTAACTTTTATATACTGCATCCCCCGGAAAATCAAAAAGAACCAGCAAAGCTTCATCAAAGTGTATATAAATTCTTTGTGCCATGCTAAATGACAAATTATGCAAAACTGGGACAGATATATCCTCATCTACCCAATGCAGAGTGCAAATACTATTAGAACCATATCATTCTGGGATCCCCAGTGATCTCATTTTCTTCTTGGTGTATATACTCTACGAGGTGGTGAACAATGGGAATTATTCCAGTGAGCTCTAATATGCCACAAGGCACTAAGAAAGTCTTTAAAAATAAGAATATGGTAAATATCTACTGTACCTCTTCTTCTAGTCTCTCTTTCTCCTTTAGCAGACAATCTCTCTCTTGCAGGGCTCTTTCCAGCTCCTTTTGTAGCCTGGGAACCATGGACCCCAGGAGCTCTGTTTGGGTGGCTATGCTCTCAGTAGCAGGACAAGCCTTCTGCTTGCAGTTAGCCAGCTTAGCACGCAAAGTTTCCCTGTATAACAAACACATATGACTGCAACTTGGTTATCCTCCCTCTGCAGAAGGCCTCCTATGCTGCACAGCAGGTACAAACTATGGGAAGAGCTACCTTGCTTTTAAAGCTACCTTGCTTTTCTATAGCTTGCACTAAGCTAAAGAAAGATAGAAGGAGCAGACCACCAAAGGGAACAAGCCATACGGAGGAGAGAACAACACACATCTCAACTGTTTCTCTCACATCTCTCTCTGAAGCTGTGCTTTTTCATTCTGCACAATCTGCAGCTCTCTTGTAATGGTGGCTCGAGCAGCATCCAAAATCAAGTCTTGTTCTTGCAGCTTTTGATTAATTTTCTCCTGCTCCACCTAAGAGGGAAGGGAAGAACTTACAAGAGTACATTTCACAGTAAAGCAAATTCCAAAATTCTCACCAAACAGAGTAACTTCTTTGTGAGCAGCTTATTAGGTTATTTGCAGCCTTCTGCTCAAAACCCAATGTGTCCTCCTAGCCAGTTTTTTGATTCATTTGAAAAGGAGGGCCTGGCACCAAGACGGCACTCATTTACTTCTCTCCCCATTCTCCTGTCGCAAGCCCTGACTTCATACACACGGCAAAGCAGCTCTGGCTGAGGCACTGAGTGGCAGAGTGTCCTTCACCCAGCACCATAGCTAAGGCTATGGCTTTGGTGCATCCGGCTAAGGTGTCCAACTCCACCTTATGCCTTGGCTGGCATGTGTCCTCCTGCCCTGTGCCTTCTTCCATTAGAGAGGATGCAGGGCAGGCAAAAGTGAGAAGCATGCTAAAGGAATCCCTGCCAGTGCTTCTGATAAGAGGTAACAGTGGGGATTTTTCTCCTGGCTAGCACTGAAGGGGCAGATGGCAATGGAAAGGCAGCTTCACAAACTTCTCAGAACCAGCCTGGCAGGCCAAATTAGCCCATGGGCACTTGGTTCCTGATCACTGCCAAACATCCAGTACATAAACTGAATAGGCTAATGCATAAGTTGCATCAAAGCACATTAAAATGGTTCCACACCTTAAGAGCGGCCTGATGATCCACGATAAGTTGAGCATTCTCCATGGTAACATTTCGAAGGCCGCTATTCAGTTCTGCACACTGCTGGGTCAACTGCTCATTAAGCACCTAAGGAAAGCACACAACAGCACCTTACCACAGCAGTAGCAACAACTCTCCGGATAAAATTGCTATTCCCCACTACCTTCTCCTAGAAGAAAAAAAGCCCAAGGCCTTATATGTCTAGGGAAGATACAAAGAATGCCTGGGCAGTATCTGGTGCTTTCTTGACAGCTGAGGAATGGGAGGATGAGAAGGGATGTCAGAGGGATGGAGCTGCTCTTCCACATGCAGTTCCGTGGGGACTGTTTCCTTAGGCCTGCCCCACCCACCTCTTCTGATGCCGTCCAGTACTCTTCCATATAGGTAGGTAGGTAGCTGTCCCTGGGTACTTGCAAACACAGTTCTCAGCAGTAAAGTGACACAAACTACATTTATCCAGCCTTGGTAGATTCATTCCTTTTTGCTGCCCTACATTTTGAATCATGACCTTATGAAAAACATTTCCATTACTTGCACTTTTTCTGCAACCTCACGCAAAGCCGTTATTTCTGATCGCAGCTGTGCATTCTCCTCATGTGCTCTGCTCAGTGACAGCTGTGCAGTCTAGAGTTAAGGAGAGAAAAGAATTTACCTCTGGGAAAAGTAGGCTTTAAAACGGGAAAAGCATTTACTGCTGTCATAGCAGGAATGTCAATGCATTATACTTTCTTATCTTGTTTTTTATACATGGGACAATTTAATCAAAACTAGTTCAGTCAAAAGCTCACAGACCCTTTTAAATAACATCATGAGAATGTCTACTCAACAGAAGATTCCCTTTTTAAACTTACCTTCTTTTCTTCACCAAGCCTGGAAATAGTGCTCTCTCGGGATTCTAGAAGAGAAACCCAGCAAAAACAGACATTACATTCCTACATTGGCCAATACAAAAGCTCTCTGGGCAGTTTACAAAGATTAAAAATCTTAAAAATATATCATTAGCAATCATTCAATTTTTCACCATTCATTAAAACATTAACCATTTACACTAGGAAGGTTATTTTCCGATCAAAATTCTAAATAAAGAACTGCTTTGCTTTTTCCTAGAATACCTTTTTGGATACACATAAACTTTTAAAAGCAAGGACAATCACAAAATATCTTTCTTTTCTATAGACATGCAGGAACAGTACTGGCATGGGGACAGCATGGTGTGGTGGTTACTGTGCTGGACTAGGGACACAGGAGACCCAGGCTTTAGTCCTCACGGAGCCATGAAGCTCATTGGGAGGCATTTTGGGGTGCTCTCAATCTGGATTTCCTACATCAGGCAGAGGGAGCTGATAGACATCATGGCCTGCTATTACTCTTCGATGAACTGGCTAACAACCAGATTACACTTCCTCTGGCTTCCATGCAGGAGCTTCTAAGTGCCATTACATGAAGTGTCCAACCTTCTGCTCCCTCCAAAAAGTACTAATTACTCTCAAAGACATATCTTCCTTACAACATCCCTGCAGCACTCTTTTCCTCATGGCATCTTTTTCACATCTAGCCATCAGCTGGCAAAGAAGATAAATTAGTCAATCTTCTTTTCAACAGCTCTAACTATCAACTGCATGGCTATTTACTAAGTTTTGTATCAACTCCAAAAAGACTTGTGCCATTCAATTGAGACGGTCACTTCAGTTAACATTTACTTTTCTTTAGACTTATAAGTCATCCTATACTGAGATCTCCCCACCACCTTAAACAGAGAGAAAAAGGATCTGATCCATCCATTCTTAAGCTTGAAACTGAACTAATCTCATATCCAGCACTCAACCTTGATGGTGCACACTTTGCACTTAAGAGGCATCACAGAAAAATTAAGCACCTACAGACCCATTAATAGCATCCTTTCCAGGAAAACATGCCTGCCCTTCACAGAAATTTGATTTTTTGTTTCTGAGATCTGTTTCATGCACTTACATTCATTACTGGATGACTACAAGTAATGACTTGCATATGTGAATGAGTCATTAAAAGATTTAAGATCACAGTTAGAACTTCTACATCTCTTTAGGCATAGTTTTCAGTGGAGTTACTTTACATCTTAATCAGATCATGTACATGGCTAAATTTCAGCTCCCTGAAGACTGTTATCATAGCCTTGTTCAGGGATGCTGGGAACTATAGTCCAAAATTTCAGGAGATTTACTCCAATAGATCTAAGAAATGTTCCAATACCTAAATCACTTTTAAGTTGTGTACATTCCTGCTCCAACTGGACTGCCCTCTGTTCTTCCTTTTGCAGCCTCTCTCGAGATATCTGAATATCCTGGTGCAGGCTGTTATAGTCTCGCTGCAGAATGTGAACCTGTAATGACATTAAAAGTGCATTCTGTAGGACACAGGCATTTCTTTAAACATTTCATGAAGGCTTTTCTTCATGCTAGAAAGCCAAAGGATGAAAATAATAAACTAGAGTGGGGTCCTCAAACTTTTTCAACAGGGGGCCAGTTGAAAGGTGCCAGCGGGGGGCGTGGACAAGTGAGGGGGCGGGAGATGTGCGCAGCAATGCAAGGTGGGTATGCGCGGGGAGGTGGGTGCACGGGGCAGGGGCTTGCTTATTTTTATTTATTTATTTATTTTATTATTATTTATTTATTTATTAAAACATTTCTATGCCGCCCCCTGCCGGAGCCTCGGGGTGGCTCACAACACAAAATAAAATACAATAAAATACAAAAATGACAATATAAAATTAACAATATAAAATAAACAACAATATAAAAGAAGTCGCCCTGGCCAGATAATAAGCAAATATTGTTAACAATTAAATAAAAAGGTCTTCGCCTGGCGCCGAAAAACAAACGACGACGGCGCCAGGCGGACCTCTTTGGGGAGCGCATTCCATTCTCTGAGCAAGTCCAAAACGATCTCTGCGCAAGCAAGCTGCTGCCTCGCTGTGCGCACCTGCAGCGAGTCCAAAACCTGAGGCGGGCTGGATAAATGGGCATGGTGAGCCAGATCCGGCCCGCGGGTAATAGTTTGAGGACCCATGGACTAGACTATTTGCAGATGTAAAGCTTTATACTTTAAATCTGGCCCTATACCATGCTTTTCATCTTTACGAATCAGGGTAGCAACCGCACAAAGCTTGAATGTGGCAAAGCACAAGCTTGCATGCCAAAGGCCCCTGAGAAATACTTTTATCTGGAACACTGCTGCCAGACAGATGTACCAGTGGACTAACCCAATATGGCAGATTCCTATATTCCTCCAGACTATAGCCACCTACTGTAACAGCAGCTCAGCTGGAGTCTGTATATTCACTGCCAAGGTTCAAGCCAATACTCTATACACTGGATCATACTGATGGAACACCAAAAGGAAAAATGGAATCTAGGATCATTATCCATCCAGCCTGCAGGAAGAGCTCTGGAGATCCCCACAAAGTGGCCTATGGCACTTGAGACCCACCAAGAGAAACTAAGCTCATTGGCCATGTTCTGCGGCCAGGCTAGGAAGCCTGTGACCAACCCCCCCCCCCGCCACCCCCACAACATGGATAAACTACTGCTCTCATCCTCCTTCATCACAGGCCAAGATGGCTGAGACTGAAAAGAATCCGATGCTAAGCAACCACCCTGCACTTGTATTTTCAGAAAGGAAATGACAACACTTCCACAAGTCCATGGTTAGGCTGTAGGCAGTACACATTTCTGGCACAGGGGAGCATAAGTTGCATGAACTTCCTTGAGGGAGTTTTGGGACCACTTCTCCCCAATATCCTTCCACAAAGAACATGAGCAACAGCGCACACCAGGGGGCCTTGGACCAGAGCAGGATTCTGCGTACCTCAGAAAAATTATGAGAGTGCATCATCTTCACAGGTATGACCAAGTACATTATAGTATGGCTGGCACAACATGCCGGTGGGGACCAGTAAAAGAAGAAAGAATGCTAAACAAACAGACTCCCAATGGGGATCTCCTCACAAGCATGTAATGATGTACAGATACAGAGCTGCCGCAGAACAGGGCATGATCATTCTATAGGACTGGGAAAGGGTGCTGAACTTTCAAAGAATATATACATCAAGATTTATATCCTTGAAGTGTAGTAGTAGTAATATGTTAACACAGCATCGACTGTATGCAGCTGTACCTTTTTGCATCAGAAGTAGTCCATCAGTAGTCTTCAGACTGCATTGTTTGTTCAAATGCTAAAGGAGGATGAACTCAGCTGAGCTTCACTAACCTGCTGCCGTTCTTTTTCCACTGTCACTTCCATATCCTGCATACGATAAAGCAGAACAGCTTGGGATTCCTCCAAAGACTTCCGCACACTAGACTCTTTAGACAGCTGCTCCGTTAGCTTCAAGCAATAAATTGGAGTGGAAAGCCAAATCAGTTTTGGACATAGACATGGGCTATGCTATAATGGCATGCAACTCTCAATTTGCTCTCTCCCTTCAATAAGTGGCATGTGCAGTGCTGATGGCAACACTGGAAACATGAGCCCAAAGGCTACCACCAATTTGCATGTAATTTTCCTAACTTCCATATCAGTGTAGAATGTGTCAAAACAGAGTTAGCAGAGTCTTAGCCAAAGTGGCACCCTCTAATTGTTTTGGACTCCTAGTATTCCTAAGTACTTGCTGAGCTGGCTGGGTCTGAAGTCCTCAAAATCTGGAGAGCATTCAAATGGGAAGGACTATGCTAAATACGAGATGTACTTAGTCTAAAATTTTATTACATTAAGAAACACGTGCTAGTTTGTGAAAGAGAAACTACCTCCCTGCAGACATTTGTCATGGAGAATGCGCCTGGTAGACGCAAGGGAGAACGTTCTGCTCATAGCTAACAGATTTAACAGTCCTGATTCTTGACTACTTAGGAAGTTCAGTGTCTTGACAGCCAGACACCCTTCTGTTCTTTACCTCTTGCAATTCATGGTTCAGCTTCTTTTTCACTACCCGCAACTCATCTGCAGCAATAGCCGCATCTCTCTGCAAAGACCAGAACATCACATTCTATTCAATATTCAAGCCACTGCAACAGAAAGTGCAGGATTCCCCTCTCCCCGCCGCAAAACTGGATTTCTTGTCACCCCCTAGGCTTGACAGTGGTTTCACGAACATTTCTGGCAATTGGACTTATGCAATAAATCAAAATGACAGAGCCTTTGTGAGGCTCAGGGATGGAGGTGTTACACCTTGATAACTTCCATTATTCAGTACAGAAACTGGGCATAAAAGTATTGAAGAACACCTATTCTGCTCTCATGCAACATTGCCACTTAAAATACATGCACTGAACAGCTTGCAATAAGTTTATTTTAATATAGATTATAATGGCAAGGGGTTTTTCTTTTTTGTTTTATTTGCTGCTTTGTTTTGGCAAAATTGAGCTCTTTGGCAAGAACTAAAACCAAAGTCTGTAGAAAGTAGGGTAACAGGAAGTGGGGACCAAGTGCACAGGCAAGAATTGTACTGAACAGAATTAGAGTTGTAAGGTGCAGAATCTGTAACATAGAATGTAATTACAGCATTCTCTGGTAGATGGTTGTCCATTTAAATACCTCTAGCAAAGAAAAGCCCACTCAACCCCTGACTTATTAAGTGCAATCTACAACAGATCTCAGTTCGAATCCAAGGAAAACCATTCAACATCACAATAGTCCAAGTCTATGCCTCAACCACTGGTGCTGAAGAGGCTGAAGTTGACTGGTTCTATGAAGGCCTACACCTTCTAGAGTTAACTTCAAAAAACGATGTCCTTATCATCATGGGGGATTGGAATGCTAAAGTAGGAAGCCAAAAGATAACTGGAATAACAGGCAAGTTTGGCCTTGGAGTACAAAATGAAGCAGGGCACAGGCTGGTAGTATTTTGTCAAGAGAATATGATGGTCATAGCAAACACTCTTTTCCAACAACCCAAGAGATGACTCTACACATGGACGTCACCAGACAGTCAACACAGAAATCAGATTGACTATGTGCTCTGCAGCCATAGATGGAGAAGCTCTATACAGTCAGTAAAAACTAGACCAGGAGCTAACTGTGGCTCAGATCATGAGCTTCTGGTTGCAAAATTTAGGCTTAAATTGAAGAAAGTAGGGAAAAGCACTAGGCCAATCAGGTATGACCTAAATCATATCCCTGATGAATATACAGTAGAGGTGACAAATAGATTTAAGGAATTAGATCTGATACACAGAGTGCCTGAAGAACTATGGACGGAGGTTCACAACATTGTACAAGAGGTAGCAACTAAAGCCATCCCAAAGAAAAAGAAATGCAAGAAAGCAAAATGGCTGTCTGAGGAAGCTTTACAAATAGCTGAGGAAAGAAGGGAAGTGAAAGGCAAGAGAGAAAGAGAACTGAAAGCAGAATTCCAGAGAATAGCTAGAAGAGATAAGAATGCTTTCTTAAATGAACAGTGCAAAGAAATAGAAGAAAACAATAGAATAGGGAGGACCAGAGATCTCCTCAAGAAAATTGGAGATATGAAGGGAACATTTCATGCAAAAATGGGCATGATAAAGGACCAAAATGGTAGGGACCTAACAGAGGCAGAAAAGATTAAGAAGAGGTGGCAAGATTACAAAGAAGAACTATACAAGAAAGAGCTTAATGTCCCTGATAACCACGATGGGGTGGTCACTGACCTCGAGCCGGACATCCTGGAATGTGAAGTCAAATGGGCCTTAGGAAGTCTGAGCAACAACAAAGCTAGTGGAGGTGACAGTATTCCAGCTGAGCTATTCAAAATCTTAAAAGACGATGCAGTAAAAGTGCTACACTCAATACAGCAGCAAATTTGGAAAACTCAACAGTGGCAACATGAGTGGAAAAGGTCAGTTTACATTCCGATGGCAAAGAAGGGCAATGCCAAAGAATGTTCGAACTACCGCACCATTGCACTTATTTCACATGCTAGCAAAGTTATGCTCAAAATCCTACAAGCTAGGCTCCAGCAGTATGTGGACTGTGAACTATCAGAAGTACAGGCAGGATTTCGGAGAGGGAGAGGAACTAGAGATCAAATTGCCAACATACGCTGGATCATGGAGAAAGCTAGGGAGTTCCAGAAAAACACCTACTTCTGCTTCATTGACTATGCTAAAGCCTTTGATTGTGTGGATCACAACAAATTGTGGCAAGTTCTTAAAGAGATGGGAATACCAGACCATCATATTTGTCTCTTGAGAAACCTATATGCAGGTCAAGAAGCAACAGTGAGAACTGGACACGGAATCACTGATTGGTTGAAAATTGAGAAAGGAGTTCGGCAAGGCTTTATACTGTTGCCCTGCCTATTTAACTTATAGGCAGAGCACATCATGAGAAAGGCGGGGCTGGATGAATCACCAGTTGGAATTAAGATTGCTGGGAGAAATATCAACAACCTCAGATATGCAGATGATACCACTCTACTGGCAGAAAGTGAAGAGGAACTAAAGAGCCTCTTGATGCGGGTGAAGGAGGAGAGTGCAAAAGTTGGCTTGAAACTCAACATTAAGAAAACTAAGATCATGGCATCTGGTCCTCTCACTTCCTGGCAAATAGATGGGGAAGAAATGGAG